ACTACGATACAGCTCTTCTCGCGCCCCCTGATCAACTTCCCGCGCGCGCTTCGTGCTCAACGATACAACACATACTGCACGTACAACGATACAATTCTAAGCGCGCTTCGCTCCATCCAGTCCTCTTCTGCTCCTTCTCCATCGTCCAACTGTCCTTCCAGCAGCTATCGATCCTTCAATACGTTTGTCCGGCGATCCTGTCCATCGTTCTACCCCCCAATCGCTCCTGCCAACTTCAAAGACTCGACATGTGCACGTGCTGGCACCATCTCTCTGGCGCCCCCGTGTCGAGCCCGTCAGATAACGACACCGGCCCTCCACCTGTGGCCGTATTCATCAACGAAAACCCAGTGGGTTCCGGAACCCAGTTTAGTGCTTTTGATGAATATCGATGTAGAATCGATATTCATCAAAACCACTAAATGGGTTTCGGAACCCACTGGGTTGTTCGTTGATGAATACGGCCACTGGATAGCACCTCCAAACACGGCAGGCTGACCAGGTATCGCATAGCGTAGACGCTCGACGTCGATTGGGGTTCCAGTTGGCAAGTTGCCACAGTCTTCCCGACTTTCTCCCCGCGCTCTGACGCCATGCTTCTCACCCTGGCTAGCCCCGCTGCCTCGCTACTGGCGTAGATATTCACTCCAGCTTCCTGTTTGCCTGGTCTTCTTATTGCGTGCTGAGCGTGGTAGACATCGGGTCCGTTACGCACGCATGGAGGATGAAAAAGCGCGTCCCTAACTGACGCTAATCCCTGCGTTCCAACGATGTTGTTTCCCTGCTCGATCAGCTGAACTCCATGCGCGGGCGGAAAACATCATCCACCATGCGCTCGGCGTCGATGCACCATGTTGCGGCTCGGTGTGCTCAGCACCCCTCGCCCTAGTGCTCGTCCGCCTGACGACACAAATCCCTACTCCAGGACATACTGCTTCTGCGCTAGTGCGCGCACTCTAGCGCGTCCGCTCGACGCCAACATCCCAAACCCGTACAAACAAACAATCACAACACGACTAGATTAAATCACATTTACTAAAACATAAAAACAAACACAAATACCTAAAACTACTAAAAGGACTACTACTACTAGAGGAAGAAAATGGGCGCGGGACGAGCCGCTTCGTCCCGCGCTGCCGATGCTACAAGAAGATCATCTCCAACGTGTAGTTCCGGGTCCTCCACTGGGTCAACCGCAAGCCCCTGGCCCATACGGGACGGCGTGACCCCTCTCCACTCCCGCAATCTTTTTCAACTACTCGCTAGACTACAACCTTAGCTGCGCGTCTCCATACACAAGAAGATTATCAAAAGCTCAACCGCTCGAAACCTTTGATCATCTGCGGGAGCTACTGGAGGCGCTGCCAGCGGGTTGATATCATTAAACGATCGATAACGAACGGAACTCGAGGAGGCGTAGACCGCGGCCTGCGCGCCCTTATATACCCTGTGACTTGGCAACGCGCCCAGTAAGGGAGAGGTCTTGGCGCGAAATTGATAGCGCGCCAAGTAACGCGGCAGCCAGCGCTCCCGGCCTCCTGTTTCGAGGAGTGGCTTGCATCGCGCGAGCCGCGACACTTTTAGCAAACCGTATTTATATGGACCGATAGCCTAGATCTCCTAGTTTTCACAGGAGTGATTTGAGCCTGATTCGTTTTCTTTGCTTCTGAGTAATAGTTGGTGAAACACAGCCATCAAAAGCAGAAAATGGGAAAAACGCGCTTTTGGATGACCTCTAATTTCACAGTTTGGAAATCTTCTGAAGCGGAATTTCTGAGGTGGACAAAGAAGGAGTAGTGCTTTGTCTTGAGTGCAAAAACGGATAGATAATGTACCTTTGAAACAAAGTTATCCATCTTGGAAAATGACCATTTCATATAGGTAGTCGTATCTTGAATTTTCAGAATTCGCTCAAACTTTGTCTACAGGGGTTAATTGACATGCTCATTATAAATATGTTGCCCATTATGTTTGACAGGGCCTTTAGGTAATGTTATCTTAGGTATGTAATTCAGGGGGGGGGGACCTTATTAAGACAGCAATCAGGGGGGGGGTCGTAACCAGCGATCGTGTGCCACACCTTGCTTGACCCTGGTTATGACTTACGAGAAGTGAGAATATAACTTGGAACACATGGAAGAACCTGAGAAAAGCCTAATAATGGCAACATCCCCGGACTTGCATGAGAATCAGTAGCCTTGCAAACACTGCTTTCACTGGTTGCGTGTGATGACAATTTGAACTTCGCTCGCAGACCCTTGAGCGCTCTTTTCAAGCTTTCAGGCGAAAATCTGCTCTAAACAATGTGCGATTGCTACAACACTGTGACAGAGCCCTTTATGACGCATCAAAGATGAAGTCTCGATCAGCTGAAGCTTGTGCTTGCTCTCGAATGTCTTATGCACTGAAATGCGAATCGGACTGAATTCGGAATTCGCGGAAAGCATGAGTGGGTAGCTAAACAAGCTTTGTTCGCATAATTGAAAGCCAGTCAATTGGTTTGGAGTTTTTGAGATCTCCCCTTAAATCTCGCTGTCAAAAGTCCATAGACTCTGTAATATCTTATCTGAGCAGTTGAGAGAGTACAAGTATATCTACATACTTTCAGGATCTTTTTAGATCTCCTCCCCTCGGGAACCTTTGTTGCTGTTTTACTATTTTCGACTTGCTAATTTACTATTTTTGACCGAAGTAGATATTGTTTGCTTGAGCACCTTATTTGAAACAACATGATTTTTTTTCCTTAAGAAAATTTTATTCTAGAGGAATGCTGTCGAAGTGAAGTTGAATTTGTTGTTGACATCCCACCTTTCATAGAATCGTTGCAACATCCCAAGCTTCCAGCGGGGGTACTTTTTTGGCTCCGGTCAACAACAAAACTAATTCAGTTCAGCCTGCGCTAGTTTATGCATGAGTGACTTTGTGGTTCACTAACTTTGTTTTTAATGGTTGAAGATGAGGAATAACGGAGTTTTTTTTATAGTGTGAACCTTACACTCAAGCCTCTTTGAACTACTTATTTGTATTTATCATTATCCAGGGCTCGCACTAGGGCTCTCCGAAAATGCAAAACTAAGTCCGCCCTTACTTTTGCAAAATTTCACGAAGTTCCCTCTGATTTTTATCCAAATTATCCAAATCGAATAAAACACAGAAACATCGACTTAAAAACCTAACCCTAGTTGTGTTTTCCGACCCACGAATACGATATCTCCTTTGCTTTTTGCCCCAAAAACGATATCTAGATTGCTTGTAAGCCACTTGTGAAAGCCCTGATCTTTATCAATGTTTGTGATATTTCTATTATGTTTCATACTTATTATCACTATTATAATTGTGCTGGTTATCATCTTATCTTGCTTAAGCATCGTACTACCAAAGGAACTATTTATCAGACTCTTAACTAACAATAAGTTTCGCTACTACTTTTATGACTTTTCTTCCTTATATGATACACTCAAATTTTGCTATTATGTAAGCTACAACGTAAGCTACAAGCGCAGGCACAGTTCTGCCAGAATGTGATGTCGCAGTGGAAGGTTACGGTAGGTACATGATATAAGGGCAAAAATTATAGATTATTGCAAATTTAGCTGAAACTTGGCACAGATGATTATTTGACATGCTGATCACGAAAACGATAGATTTGTATGATAGAGCTTTTTTTGTGAGGTGAGTGTAGATCTACGGTATGGGGTCTCACCTTCAGCAGAAAAAGGGGTGTCATAGGCAGTCGTCCTTAAGCAGTCATGCGCAGAGCGGCTTCTTCAAATTTTTAAGGGCCCCACGTCCCGACTTGTCTGTGAAGTTCAAACTTTTTAATGGTGCTAAATAAGCACCATGAAAAAGTTTGTCATGGTGCTTAAAGAGTCATTATAGCTAGAGGTTGACTTAAAACCTCTAGCTATAATGCACGTATAATTTAGAGTCGTTGTGGATGGTCTAAGTTGAGAAAGGATTCATTTTTACTTATTACCCTATAAATCCTCGATTTACACTATTTTTCAAAAAGTCTTTGGATTTGCTCTATTTTTGCCATTGTAAAGCAAGCGGTTTAGACCAGTTTATCTCACATGATATTCTTTACAGTAGCACGCCAAGATCTAAAAGCGGAAAGTTACAGTCTCAGTTGCAAAACTTAGTTAACAGTCCAATATTTACCTCGCAATTATGCGTAATCATAGCTGAAGTATGTATGCATAGTTAAAGAATGTTTCCAGCTGATGTTTGTGCTTGCTCAAGCAGATGATTCCACTTCAGTACGTGCATTACATTCATTTTCTATTGTCATCACAAGATTGAACATAACTTCACTTTCATGTTTCTTAGAAGCTGCACAACTTGCCAATCCTTTTGCCTAGTATCCAGCATGTGTTCTCTTTGATCTGAGAGTTTTTCATAAACGGAATAAGCGAAATCAACAAGTGTCAGGCTGAAATGCCCTGAAGCATATGTTTCCATTGTGTAAAAAGAGTGATGACTGGTTAAATGATTGTAATGAATAGTCTGAAGATTTTCTCACTCTTCTCTTTTCTTCATAACTCGAAAACGCTTGCGAAAAAATGAAGAAACGAAAAGTTTTCTCGTATAGTCCAGCGTCACGACTCATTTAGAAAATTGTCAAAAAGAAATTTTATGCTTCGAAATTCTGGTTTTTGCCGTCATGCATTTTGCTTGCGTATTGAAACAAACTTGAATTTTTGATGGATACATTACCCCGTATGAGCAGGTTCTTTTGCTCATGCGTCATCGAAGTGCGAACATCTTTGCTCTTTGTTTAGGACGACTGGCGCCACACTAACAGCAGATTAAGTGGTACTCTTTGACTGTAAAGATAAAGATAAAGATGGAGAAATAACTTTCAGATTTGTTTTCTTTGTTTTTCACTTGTTATCTGATCACTATTCTCGGGTTTCCTGAAAGCTGTTTGTTGCCGTTGTTATGCATGTCGCAAACGTGAGCTTCATTCAACAAGATGATGAATGGATTCCAACTTCAGATGATCACTATCCCATCTGCAATTGTAATTATCATGTACATATTAGGAAACATTCTTTCTGTTATCTCACTGTATATTCTCTTTACACATGCTGGTCTGCACAATAATTTTAGGTAAGTACACACTCGATAAGTCTTTACTCTTGCGTGAATCCGGCTATTTCAGGATGGTTGTGATTTTGTTAATTAGCTTTGGCATATTACGCTCTATTGCCGTTTATTTACTTGCTGCTAGCAATTACGTGACGTATGAAGCTTCACGCGAAGTGAGTGTTATTTTTAACTGAGAGCAAGCTGTCAATGTATTTATTTCTCGCAAAAATCTCGTTACCTATCTTTGATGGTCAATTCAAAGTTTGAGAACTCATTTCCCGCCATCTTAGTGATTTTGACGTGGGCTCGTTCCAATTATTCTTTGCTTCTTTGAAATAGGATTGAGAAAACTTTCTAATGCATTCAAGTCACAAATTACGGCATGGTGCTGAAGTCTTTGAACAATGTTGTCACATAAATTTTGTTACACTATGTTCACCTTCCTCAGGAAAACTCGAGAAAATTCTCATATTTGACATATAATGCAAAAAGGATGAATCCCTTCCGCACTTTCCAGTAAGCATAATTGCAACTCTTTAACGGCAATTCAACCTCCATTTCTTATTTTGCAAAAATTCTCCCATTCTTCCTTTCCATCTGTAGATTTTTTATGAACTTCCGGAAGCAATAGCAGTAATTGTAGTGAAATGAAAGCAAATTGAAAATCCGAGGTTCACAATCTTGACATATGCAGGGTGTCCCAAAAAAATGTGTTTGATCGTTAATAACTCACTTGCTTCCACGTCTTTCGCCGAGTTTGTTACTGTAAAAAGGTTCAACTTAGGTACACTTCATAGAGTGTACGAATCAATGATCGCTCCCCGTTACTGTAGAATTACGGCAAAAACTTTGAGAACGATTTTCGGCCGTTGAAGCCTTATTCTGCACCAAACAAGCCAAAGACACTTATACTATGGTAGTGGAAGCCGTTGATTTTAAATATGAGATTTCACTTTTCTCTGGTGCTTGCTTCTTGCCAAAGTTATCCAGGTAAAACGTAACGACTGAATCCTAACACTTGTCAGAGATGCACTCTCGCAAAAAGTTGTGTAGTGAAATCAGTGTGCCCGAAAACCTTAGTACGATTTTTTCAGATTTTTTGAAGAAATTTTTGTTAAGTAACGTATTTCACAATGCTTCCACATGCTGGAAGTTCTTACCGTAACCCTACAGTAAAGAAGAGCAACGGATGATTCGCTCCATGTGATCCACGTTGAACCTTGCTCTACGCAATGGCGCCTCAAGCTCAGCAAAAGACATTAAAGCAAGGGAGTTATTAACGATCAAACAGTGTTCATATTTTTTGGGACACCCTGTGTATATAGGTAGATCACAACATTCATCACCTGAAAATGAGGACAAAACTTTTGAGGATGTTAAAAAGCTTTTTTCGTCAATAAAAATTTAACATATATCGTCACAAATTATACGCCAAAGGGAAGTCACGCCTCCTATCTGAACAAACATACAAGAAATTTTTTGAGTCTCAGTTTCATAACAACATTGCTTGAACTGCAATGAATATCAGAACTGTATAAAGATTCTAAACATTCTCTTCTTGATCAGTGTAATTAGAATCTAATTATTTCATCTAATAATGTTTTCTTACGAGAGCTATGCATTTCCAACTATTTGTGTACCTGATCCTTTCGCAAAAGGCTCAATGATTGCAATCATTGCAGCATTTTAGAGACAAAAGAATTCGGATAAATCTTTTACGGCAACACCCAAGCAGAATTTGTATATGGTTTTTAATCACTTCCAAAAGCTTCCTTTTTTAGGATCTCAAAAGCAACTTGGTGGCAGCATTTGTCTATGCAATCTGCGGCTTCGCCATATCAAGCTTATTTCTGAGTATAGAACGCTGTATAGCAGTATATAAACCAAAGAATTATGAAAGAAATTCAACTGCGGCTGTTCTGCCTTGCATCACACTCATTACAACGGTAGGTGAGATACTTTTTTTGTATTAAAGGTTATGCCTTTCTTTTTAGCTGACTCTGACAGCTGTGTTGGGATTCTGGGCAAATAAAAATGGCGAAAATCAAATACCATTGATTACAGTAACCACAGCAGCAGGATTCATTAGTTTAATTGTGAGTTCTTCCATTTTGATGCTAATTTAAATGGCGAAATATAAATGCAAACGTTTGAGCAGAAAGCAATCTACAACTACTAGTGACATCATCGCTGTCTGTAAGAATGGAAACCTTTGGTTTTTTCAGTCATCAAGGTTTTTGATGGTTGTAGAGATGGAACTTGCAAATGCTTTCCATGGAAAGTCGTGTTTTTCAATGCGATTACTGGGAAGCATTCTGGCATACATACTAAGAAAAATATTGCAAATATAGTCATAAACCTCGTGTAAGATTTCTTCCGGTAGTTGAGATTTCCTTCTGTGTATCTTCCTTTACGAAGGTTTGTTTTTTTTTGAAAATGGATGAGCTACGCGTGTAAGATTCTATGGGAAATCTTTTTGCAATATTTAGAGCAGCGGGCGCAAATTATAGCAAGGTCATTGTCATTTGCAAGAGAGTATTTGTTATCTGCTGTGACATTCGAATGGTAATCTAAACTTAAGAAAAAGTCAAGTCTACTCCGATTGCGCATTTGAGTAAACATTATCAGGATTCATACCTCCTAGTACCAGTGGCAATCCGAGCCCCCCCCCCTCCCGATGGGTCGCGAAATTTTTGAAATTTATTTATCTGGGTGGTAAAAATATGCAAGTGACTTGTTTATTCTTGTAAATAATTGAAATAATTTTTAAAGTTCTTCAAAAATTCAAATCAGCCTTATGAAAATTGTGAAAAAATATTTTTCGAGAGCGTGGCTGCCGTCACGCCCATTTTTTCTAGACTTTAGATATTATGGGACAGCAAAAATTCTGAGAAGCACCCCAAAAATTTTTGCCGCGCCTCCCGTACCGAAATTCTGGGACCTCCACTGTCTAGTACTACACTTGGATCCTGTCAAAACACATTCTCAAGCGCTTCGGCTTTTTTTCTCCAAGAAGTGAAATATGGTTGATAATATCAAATGCGATATAATTTAAAATAAGGGAATACCCCCGGAAAAATAGCATATCGTGTAGTTCTTCACAAAGCTTCACTAGTCAAAGTTAAATGAAGTCTAATTTCCCGATGTTTTTTCGCACAAATACGATGAGCTTACCGTTCCATTATCTCTTCATACTCATCGCAAATCTTCTAAAATTCAATTTCATCTCTGGAATCACAAATTTAGGTGGCAATAACCGTTTGGATACGATCCAAACACCTTTGGAAAAACCGAGATGCATCTCTTGGTCAAAGGTACGTACTTGATCAGTTTTTTCAACAATTCTCATTTAGCTGTTTTACAGATTTCAAATCGCGGAAACAAATCGTACTTCACCCATTTATCTGTCGATATCTGTCAATGAATCGATCTGTATCAGTGCCATGTCAGTGATGGGATTGCTGATGGTACAAAAAGAGAACACTGAAACGATGGGCACCAGCTACTTTCTAGTGCATTTGTTAGACGCAGTGAGTAGAAATGCTTGATTATTCTCACAATACAACACATATGTTTCTGTTGTTAGAGACAAACTTATGCAAGAGAAGGATTCCATTTCAGTGTGGTGCTTGGAGGATCATTCTTATAAATTTTACACTCATCTACTACAGTTACCTGGCCAAGAGGAGTCGACAAGCCGTCTTAGCACATGTGACGAGAAGTGCTCAAGATACGACAGTGGATCATTTTGCGGGTCTGAGAGACATGTGGAAATAAAGTTCCAACTCATCTTACTGTGCAAAACAAAGAAAACTTGCAGTTTATGCAAATGATGATCTATGTTCTCTGCATATAAAACTCATAGTCTGTGAGGATGATCGTTAGGTAATTGATTCGTTATAGAAACGCGCGCCGCTCAACGATTGGGCTGACACTTTGCTTGCGGATGTTTTCGACCCCGTAGACGGTTTTGAGATAACTCAATCAGTTTCTTCTTTGCCACGACAGGTCTTCATAGCAACATTTATTTCATTTTACTTTTATTTTTATTTTATTCAATACTCTCATTGGTGTTCCTTACCGAACAAAAAACGCACACACAGTTATCTATAGAATAACCACAAATAGATCATCATTTAATTCGGGTACATTTTTGACTAAATTGGTAGATGTAATATTCCAGTTTGTTGTGACTACTAAATGAGTACAAATTCAGCGTTGTGAACGTGATCATGGAGATGGTACCCATGTCCCCTTTGTATGCCAGCAAAACGATCTTAAGAGGGAAGGATACTTGGTGATCCTGGGCTTTTGCAATGAGATGTATACCAGTAAGTGCGTCTTGGAATGCTGATTCTAAATCTATGTTCATTATCTGCTGTGCGACTTCCTGAACGAAGTTATGGACTCTTTTCCATATTGATGCGAGATTTAGGCAGTCAAAATCGTCAGTGTCCAGGCTTTTTAGACTCTGATGTAACGGTGACAGTTTTCCTGAGCTTAACGTGAAACTTTGCTTTATTTGTACGCTCTTTTATAGTGCGTAAGCAAAGATTCTAACGATTTTGGTGAATTCTGCATCAAAAAAAGCGCAAATTTTGGTGATAAGAAATGTTCATAACCTCTTTCGGAAGAGCGCACAGCAGATAATGAAAACAGGCTTGGAATCAGCGCTTCAAGATGCATTTAATGGTGGGCGTTTCATTTCAAATGGCTACGGTTACCAAGTATCCTTTCCTTGTTAGTATATTCTAACAAGTAAATGACATTTCGATAGTGGATATACTGTCACCAAGCAATTACCGGGAAGAGTCTAATTACTCTAAGTGATTAGCAAGGGTTATAGTAAATGAATAACTTGTACGTGACTGAGAAGATGATTCAAGTTGTTGCAGTGTATGGAGATGTTGCCGATGCACGTTTGCCAGCAAAAATGCTCTAAGAAATAGAATAAGCAAAGCAGGGCTGGGTTGGTGGAATAATAATTAGAATTGTCCGAAAAATTTCGGGGAGTCCAATGACTCCAAAATGTCAAGTATTACTTAATTTATTGTGCTGCCTAACGTTTCGGCGGATACGCCGTCCTCAGAGGCCTGAAACTAAGTTAATCACCTTCATCAAACGCATTAGGCAAGGGACATACCTTACGCGATTTCAGTCGCCACGCGATTTGGCAATTTGCCAGATGTTTTCAAATTCAATACTGGTAGACCCCAAATGTACAGCATGTATAATTTTCGTAGGTTGATAAAATGCCCCATCTTCCGTACATTCGGAAACCCCGTATGATGAGTTATGAACGTTTGGAGTATTGCCAAATCGCGTCGCGACTGAAATCGCGTGAGGTATGTCCGAGGCCTAATGCAATCAAACGCTTCGACCAACTCGCACGTTTGACTCGTCCACCGCAGTCCAGCGTCCAAGCTCGATCAGCTTACTAAGACTCCCAAAGAAGAGTACGATAGAGGCTCTTTAGGTCGCTTACAGTGTACGGTAACAATAAGCGGTCCAACTGGTTTGGACATGTTTAAGTAGCTATAGGCTATCGAAATCACAGAATGATAACAACGGCTTCAGGTCATTCGGCACAGACAACTGTTCATTCTTGTTATTCAATCTCGGGTTACGAGAGGAATGAACGCGGCTTCTAACACCTTTTGAGCAGCCATATTATCCTCGATTGCCAGTATGCTTATTTCAAAGTCTTCGCCACCGTGATCTTCCCTTCTATGTTTCCCCAATGAGCTCATGAGGCTCTGTCTTCTTTTGCTGGCCAGATGTTTTACAGGTACAAAAAGCGGTCGACCGGTCCTGACGATGTAAATGGCCCGGCATGTTCAACACTCCAACTGATAAACACCACTTTTTGAGCAATCTCCTGGCCTTCCCTTTATGCACACAGCACAGTTTTGCAATTTGCAAGCTCTATCGTAATCAATTTCGCACCAGTTGTTTCTCAATGTTGTCTTGTGGTAAATTCACTAGAACAACATCACTATCCACTTGTGCTTGCGTTATACATCGTTTGACTGCGTTAGTTACTTTGCCAGATATGAACGGCAAGCATAAAAGAACAGATGGTCCGACTTTGGTTGCTCGTGTTCATGTATGTTCGCTTGGAGGTTTTGGATTGCAGCGAGTATTTCGTTGTTAGAAGCTATGTCGCATGCCATTTCCAGAAAACTAAGTCTCTCACTTTCTTCGCTGCCCACACTGCTGGCTGTCTTATACATGTTGCGGATAATCGTACGTTTTACGGCAGGTGGGTGAGCGGAAGTGGCGTGTAAGATATTGTTCTTGCTGCTCTCTTTCCGATATCATTCAATGTGTCCAGCACTGTTTGCCATCATCACCTGTGTGTTAAGGTAGGGAACCTTCATCGTGTGGTTTCTCTCTAGTTGAGCTAATGTACCGCGATTGTTCATTGAGGATCTCAAAGCACTCATCCATTTAGGACTGAGTCGAAGTCACAATGAAACAATCGTCTATATAGGGACGGTCCATTAGGAGACGTCGCTTCAATACAGGCTCTTCTATTTTGCTCACTAGCTGCGGTTCGCGGTCCCGCCCGGGCCAAGGGTTCAAAATGGCCCGTCTGCTTCAAGATGTTTGCTTACCATTCCTCCACTTCCTTCAGATCATATTTTCTCTTCCTCTCCTGCTTCAGCTCCAAGTCAGTTCCGGCACACGTGTAGTATCCGTGGTGAATTTGTCCTTCTTGACCGACTGGCTTCGTGACACCGCATCCTCCTCACCGCAAAATGTAAATGATCTCTACGGCCTCTTACTATTTACTTGGAGAAATGAATGATATGGCTCATGTAAGTAAACAAATCAATAAATCGATGGAAGGACCCAGTGTATCGTCGCGAAAAGTAGCCTATCTTCTGCACCTGGCCTCATTTATAGGGGAGCAAATTTCAGCCTCATCGGTTCACAAACAAAGGAGTCTATAAGTCACATACTTAGATAAGAACAAATATACAGAATTGAGTTTTATTATATAGATAAAGATAGCAAGAACCGTGCTAGTCTTTGCCCCATCGCCAGCTTCTACTGTGCGTAAAACTCGCACCCCTTTGAAGTTGTTACATCCAAGGCATTCATTGATAAGAGCGATGATGCGCACTTTACTAGTCCGTACGTTTCCATACTTGCAATTGCGTATCGAGGAGCACAGAATGCTCCTCAACGCGCAGTGCTTGTAGGGCGTCATTGTTAGACACATTTGTGTATAATGACTCCACAACGACTCCATTACACAATTTTGATCGAAATTTTGTGTAATTTTCAAGAAAGCGGTTATGTTCGGTGAATGGGCGGGTATTTTAGTTAAGAGTTGGCTGACAATCTTGTTCAGAAACCATGCAGTTCTATCAGTTGGCCCTCCAACACAGCTGATGATTGGTCTAATCTTGCAAGGCAGCTGACACATTTTGTGGGTCGGTCGAGAGCTTGGGCGTTTTCACGAGGCCATAGAAGGCAGGACAGCTTGGGTTTTTAATCTTGAGCCGACTGAGAAATCTTTCTTCGATAACCGCTTGCTAACGGTTTTGAGATATTTGCTAAAATTTGCTGGTTTCTTCCATAAATTTATAGATTTTCAGCACTTTGCAATGAAAAGGAACTCATTTGCTATCAAACCAGCTCTACAGAAATATGTGAAAATGACCAGCATGTCTCATTGTGAACTTCTGTTATGAAAAGTGTTCTTGGTGTAAGTTTTGATCGTTTATGTTCATCAGCATATATTTACTATATTTGTTGCGATCGAGTTTGATGCACAAGTAATTATAAGTGTTCCGTAGTGAGTGTTTTGTGCAAAGGAGTGCTCAAGTTAAGTTACGACCAATATTTCCTTTAGTAGGTGTACATTTTGAACAATAATAGGATCGAGGCTCACGAGATTGGACATCTAAAATTTAAAAATGATGCCTGCTTGAAATGATGTAAACACCTACTTATTTGGTCATATTGAGAAAGAAATATTTCCAGAATCAAACAATATCCTACTGCATCCGAAATCAGCCCCAAGCAATGTGATAAAAAAGCAAGTAGCCGCTTAGCAGCAAAGCAGCACAAAATGAAGCTCATTATTGTCAGAGTCATTATGCTACTCATCTCTCCTTTGCATGTCAAATCACAATTCAACTTGCTCTGTACAGTTTTTGAAGTCGTTTAGATTTGATTCAGAAAGCAAGATGTCAAAGGTAGAATAATTATGCTCTTTACTGCCTGTCCCTTCTTTCACAGTCGTTAAGATTGCACCCACACCTCGGGGGGGGGGGCGGGCAATAGGCTCATTTCCTCATTGGTCGATATTGCAAACTTTGAGCTACGGGGCTGGAAATTGCCACAGTGGGTTGATTGAGCGTGCTGATTACGAATAAAATATTAATTGTCAATTATCCATTACTTTTATCGAGATTATTGATTTTTTTGCAATGTCTGACCTGAGGGCTAGGAGTTGATACAGGGAAAAGTGAGCATCCGATTACGAACACAACATTAGCTTTTTGACCCGTCAACCAGCTTCATCGATTTTTGCAAAGTTTGAGCTACGGGGTGGGTTGGGAGTTGGCACTAGGAGGTTAGATGGTATGCTGATTACAAAAACATAATGAGGATTGGGGACAAGTTCAGAAAAATATGCAAACAATTGGAAATGACAATCGTCATAGTGTATTGATAGGGCAGGTGGAGCCAAGTATCAGCTAGTTTTACCTAATCATGTTGCACATTCGAGGGACTGTCATCAGAATTTTCTATGCTTTGAT